AATCATTTTCGTCAAGCTCAACTAACGGGAGGCCCAGGAAACAAGCTGTTTCAATGGGGTCGGACAAGAGGTAGAGGGGTGTTTGCTGATTCGGATTGAGCTGGCATGTGAAGAGGTTGGTGTCGTGAGGGGATTCTCCACATGCCGGGCACTCATTGGGGATATTGGCGTCGAGTCTAGACAGGTAGCTGTTGAGGCGGCTACAGTATCCAGACCGTAATTAAGGCAGGGTAACGCGGGTCTCTCTTGGCAACTGAAGCTCCGTCTCTTTTGCAGGTGGTGATTGGGTTCCTATTACGGCATTCATAGGTCGAGAGTCAAGGTAGGTGTTGACTGACTCTTTCTGACTCGTCGGGCCCTGTGGTTGGTCTACGTATTGCTGGACTGCGTCCTTGTATACGAATAGGTGCCCCCTGACGTGCCTGGGCGGAGGGTCCTCCTGAAGCAGAGGTCTGTTTGGGTGTTCACTTCTGTGACACCCCACCAGAAATTGCTTACAAAGCAATTTGTTGTGTTCCATTACGGGGAGCACTTGGCCCTCGCTGTGCTCAGGCGTCATCAGAAGGCACCCAGTCGCTGTCCGGAGTGCGGCGTTCTGCCGAGTCTGTAGCTTCGTCCACTGCGTTCAACTAGTCCCCTGCACCCTAACTGGCGCAGCATAGTTTAGAACCGGCCGGCCGATTGCCTTGTATGTTGCCAGCAACGTTTCTTTGTCTTTGCCCCAAGTCCTGCCGGCGAGCGACTTGAGGACCTTGTTGCGACTCTGTACTTTACTGACAACTGCGGTTGTGTGCGTGGAGTAGGAGAGCAGGCTATCGAAGGTGACCCCTAAAATTTTCGGGTTTTTTACAGTCGGTATTGGTGTGCCATCGACGTGTATACCTAATTCTAGCCTGACTTCCTTCGTCCAGGTGGTGAAGAGGGCCGCCGTTGATATCGTTGGGGAGAGTGTTAGGCTCCTTGCAGTGAATAAGCGAGAAAGGCTGGAGATATAGTCGTTTACTTTTGAGCAGAGGTCATCAATTCCATTCCCGGACGCCAAAATCAAGCAATCGTCAGCGTATGAGATCAGAGAAACTCCCTCAGGTGGCTGGGGAAGCTTCGAGATGTACAAGTTAAATAATAAGGGGGAGAGAACACCACTTTGTGGAACCCTTGTTTAATTCTTCTTGGTTTCGAGGTTTGATCTCGGAAGATTACAGACGACTGTCGACCACTCATATAATTCGCCGACCATCGCTTCAGTCCCTGTGGTAGTGAGGAGGCCTCGATGTCTTCTAGCAGCGTGGAATGGCTAACGGTGTCAAATGCCTTTGACAAGTCCAGCGCTACTAGGACCGTTCTCTCACAGGGGCGGTTTCCAATTAGGCCACGAGTTATTTGGGTGTTTGTGGCGTTAAGTGGTGTTGTTGTGCTATGCACTTTACGTGCTGGTGCTTCGCTGGGGTCAGGTGGAATGTGAAGTATGGGAGTAGCAGGGCTTCAAGTGTCTTCGCGACCAGGGAAAGGAGAGTTATCGGACGATAAGAGTCTCCTTTGTTGGCGGGCTTCCCCGGTTACAGCAGCGGGACCACTCTCCCTGATTTCCACACATCAGGAATGATGAGAGGGCCATAGACAGGTTTGCGGAACCCCGTTAGGTAAGCTGCTCCCTTAGGCCCCAAATGTTTCAGCATCAACATACAGATTCCGTCGGTCCAATGACTTTCGAGGCTTTCGCCTTCCCGATAGTCCCTTGCCCTTCACAGCTGGTGAAAACAAGTGGTGCACTGTTTTTTGGCAGCTTGTGCCTCCTGGTCACTCGACGTTTGGCCCTGTCTACCGAAGGATGCAGTGTGAATTGCCTACTGAAGTAGGTTGCGCATTTCTTCGGGTCCGACGAAGCGCGATCTTCGAATGAGATTTCCACTCTTTCATCACGCATCGTGGGGTTGTGCTAATTTACCAGTTGCCGAATCTCCAAATTAAGGTCCCTCAGACGAGGGTCCCCGGGATCGACCTGGCGTAGGTGGTCACGCTCATTTGCTAGTACAGCTGCTTCGGCCGGGAAATTTGGGCGGGCTTCCGCGATACTTTCGGACGGGATGAAGCGAGCTGCTGCGGCAGTGACTACCGTTCTCATCCGAGGCTTTGTATCTCTTTTTCATTGGAGCCGGTTTTTACGTGGCGGGTCCCAAATCCAGCTCATAGCCCATTGTTGGGACGGGGGTAGTTTCGTACCCGAATGCACGTTTATAAAGTGAGCCGCTTGCTCCAAGACAGACACCCGCTTGCAGCCGCACATACTGGTGAACAGACGCTGCAGACTTCCGTGAGCCCTTACACCGAATAAGTCGGAGTGGCCCCACCAAAGCCGCCTCTCTTTCTGCCGTGACCCAAGGCTCCACTCGGATTGGTTAAGCATCTCGCACATGGGTTGCTCACGTTGCCCACAGTGCGCGATCGAGGACGCAAGAGTCGGGATTGAGTATAGTCGTGCGACGGTAACTGCATACCCGGCACAACGACTATACCCCATGGCAAAAACGCCCTATCTCAGCTGAGAATACATTGAAGATGCGCTGAGATAGGACGTTTTTGAATCGGCAGTGGCGTTGCCAAATGTCCCGTATTTGCCGGGACGTCCCGTATTTTGCATTAAATTTGAAATGTCCCGCCGGTTTAGCGGCTTCAAACTTGCACTTTATAGTACTGAAATTGAATGGGCTATAAAACAGCATACTCTAAATCTTTCTAGGAAATCTAAATAAAAATATCGAAATTTCTATGAAAATTTTTTTAAGTTTAATTAATTTTTGTGGACTTTTTGTATGCTTTGAAATTTTTATTTCAAGTAAAAAAAATATATTTTTATATCTCTATTTATTTGAGTCAACTCTTACAATTATTTTTTATATATATTTATGGGTCGATTATCGACCGTTGCATTGCCAGTTGCCGAAACGATAGTTGCGATCCCGTACAAGCCCTAGAGCTGTAAAACTATCGATGGTACTATCGAATGGTTCCATTTTTTTGCACTATCGAATGGTCGTTGGCCACCATCGATAGTCTTTGTTTGAGGAAATATTTATATTGTTTATATTATATGTACTGCTTAGGTCGATGTTATGCAGACGAACTTTTGTTTGGAAAATTAAATGGCGGCTGCGTAGTTTGCTCGGAGGTGGTTATGTCCAGTTTGGCACAGGGTTGCACGCTGATTGTGATTTGCATGGCTATTGCCAATACAAAATAAAAATTTCAGATGAACAAATCGTGCACAAATTAGTATTTTTTATGATATTGTATAGGCAATTAACTGTGCCCTAAGCTTTGAAGCTCCTACAGCATAAATTCAGTTGTGTGTCATTCGGTATCACTGCAATTTTTGTGTATAACAATAATAACCTACAATTTTTTTGTATGGCAACACTAATTTTACAGCAGTTTGGTCCAACAAAATTAGTTTGCTGTGAGAGTCGCCAAACTCGCTCCTCCGAGTTTGCTGCAACAACAATTGCACGCAGTTTGCCAAACCAAATGTCGGCATAAGAGCTGTGCAAGCTTTAAGGACCGGAGATATTGAAGCTGAACGCAGTCGTTCCTCTGTGTATTTACCATCATGCTACGGCTTATTTTGGAAGTTTTGAATATGCTTTGAACCTGAACACAAACAGATAATAAATGAAAAACCTTCAAAGCATTAACTTTTGCTTACAGTGCAGGCAGTGTCTCTAGAGGATTGGAATTATTCTTTAAATGTCGCCTGATTGAGGCCGCGTTAATGCGCTGCTCTCTTTCGCATAAAAATAGTTCACTGAACTTAAAATTATGGCAGGCTTTTATTTAAAACTCTTTTATTTTAATAATCTCCCTTTACTAGCACAGCTTGTGTACAACCACTTGCTGGTTGCCGTACTGTCAAATTTCGATTATCGATAACTCTGCAGCAACTTACGATAGTTGTCATATTTTAATTTAATGACTTAGATTATTTAAGATACCATCAGGGACGCTCTCTATCTCGCAAAATATAATTAAGTTCTTTAACCCCTATTTGAAAATCTAATCTCCAAAGCACAATTTTACAGCCGATGAGAAAAGCAACGTAAACAGCAAGCAAGTTCAACTGGTCTATCTTTTCATCCACTAAGCAGTGGACCTAGGGATGTCAGTGGCAAAAATAAATCGATGTTTTTCTTTGATTCGGCGCACCGCAATGTACATCGCTATTCTTCGAAGGGCATACATCGATGCATCGATTTCCATAGGAATTTTCAGATACCTAATAGTTGTGTTTCCTTGGGTTATCCAGCTCAGCATCATGATCATCTCTCACGGAAACGATCTGGATCATTTTTGTTGGGGTTGGCAGCACTAATTTTATATCTACTACTAGCACGAGGAGGACGAAAATGTTACAATGAACTCACTAAATGCGGAAAGGTGCATTCAAACGAAATAATATTAACTTGAATAAATATTTAACATAAACGCAATTTATGTGAATCAAGTTAGGAGAAACAAATGGTAGAATATCTGTTTGTGTATACGTTCATTTGTCAGTGCTACCAAACCGTGCAGCAAACACAGCGGATCATGAATTGAACCAGAACTCTATCAGTATCGTATCGTTGTTGTTGCACTTTCTTGGGAAATTTTAAATAAATTACTGCAACTGAGCTAATTATTTTTCTAACGGAACTCTTTGGATGCATCGTCACATCGACTAAGTATTTAAACATCGAGTGGAAAAGCAAAACATCGATATTTTTGATCCATCGATATTGATAAGTGGACCTTCTTCCCCTGGACAAAGCACCATATTTTGCAGCACTGTGCCTCTAAATATTTTCTGATTTAAAATTAAAAAATAGGGGTATATTTTTTGCGATATAGAACAGTCCTAGGGGGTGAGAGCATTAAAATACCGACTTTACTTGTTGGACTAACCTAGTATAGGTACATAGATACATACAAGCATACATACATACATATGTACAAGTACACAAGCTTACCACAGGTGTCACTGTCACTATCGTCCGCGGTGCTTATTTTATCTCCACTTATACTGCTATCAATAAAATTACTGGCGCCAAAGGTTTTCCCAACATTATCCTGAGCTCTAAAATCTATTGCTGCGATTTGCGAAGCGGGCAACGGCGATTGGGATAGATCATCTTGATATATTCCGCAACAAACAGCATCTTCACCCACCTTATCAACGATGTCTTTATTAAAGTTATTCAGATTTTGTTGCACTTGGTATAAAGATGAATAGCTTTTCGATAGTGACGCAGTTGTGGTATTTTCCATGTTAGCATGAAGGTGAGACATAACATCACTTGATGCAAAAGCTGTGCCATGGTTACCTTGGCGGTTTGAAGTAGCCAATTTGTGATCGAGTCGTGACGAATGCGTTAAAAATTGCTGGCCCAACATGGAACTTGGCAAGTATGACTGGTGTTGTTGAAACAAATACTGATTTTGTTGTGTCTCATATTGCTGCAGCATAGTCGTTTCGTTGATCTTGAGACTTTGGTGCGGAGAAGAGTTTTTGTTTAGGTTACCAATATTGTTTTCGTTTTGGAAAGCAGCTGCGGCCGCACTTCCGGCTAAAATGTCTGTTATCATGAAACGGGATCGCGACGATTGCTGCGAAGTGCAATGCGTGGTATTAGCAGGCATTATAGGCATCGACGAAGTTGGTGCACTTATAGTAGACATTTCAGGTGGCATTTTTATCATTGAAACATATGATTAAATACGTTATAAATTCCGGTATTCTTTTAATATTATTAACTATATGTACTCTATAACCGTATAGATATTCCACTCTTCACAACCTAGTACAATATGTATGAAAGTTCATATAAACTATACTTATATTTAATGGTACTATTCTTTTAATTAGTATCACGCCAGAAATGCATTTTTGATAACGTTTCTTACGGAAATCTTAACCAAATACTCGTTCGCCAGCGCCAAAATTTATTATCACCACCCGATTTCAGTACAAAATCGAAACTAAACTATGCTCAATTGATATCCTATATCTCACTCAAAAATACGTAGCTCGCACTCGCAGACACGCAGCAATAATTGGATCTAGAGTAGTTCAACCAGTGTAACACTTTAGGCCTTTTGAACAATGTTTACCTTTCCCAGTTGCTGTCTCGTTTACGCTACAATAAGAGGATGTTTTTTCACTATCTCAAGGGGTATATTTGTCTCTCAACTTTGTTGTTTCTCTATTCTGCTATTGTACGTATGTATGTATGTATGTTCGATGAATGTGTTAATGGCATGCGTGAACCATCCGAATGCTGGATTTTATCTTTTGTTTGCAAAAACTATTTGAAAAGTACAAAATATGTATACTTCCTCAGTTATTGGTCACACGTAATTATTTCCTATTGATATTCATTAGTCAGTGAAGAAGATATATGTATGTAGGTAGACAAGTGCTCTTGTAATGGCTCTCTTGCTGCTGAAGAAGGTGTGTATCCATGTACATACACACATGCATATAAAGCCGTTTTTTATTTCGGAGGGGAACGAGTGGTGAATTTTTAATGTACATACATACATACACACACACATGCTCTATATATATGTATACATGTATGTATGTACTACCGAGAGCGATGGAAATTTTTACTCCCCTTCTAAAAATTCTGCATTTCCTCTTCAAGTAAAATATTTAGATTTTGAAGATTACATTTTATTTACTACAGTGTTACAACGACATGGACAGGGCCGTCGAAAGAAACCTCAGGGTCCGGACTGAAAAATACGGGCTCCTATACATTGTACTAGTTTAAAAGCGTGTGATCAATTCAGAGTTTTCCATGTACGGTTTCTTTAATGTATGTATGTATAGAGACAGTAACAATCAGTACGAATTGGAATATACCAATTTATTATAAAAGCCTATAACGAAGAAGCAGTTTCTAGCGGAAGTATGGAAAAATATTTGTTTCTATAATGAATTTAATTTTTTTATTAAACTGTTAATTATAAATATAAGATGAGCTGATATAATTCAAAATCTGTTAAGATATCTACTTGTCAAAATCATAACTGTAGTCATTATTAGTTGCGTTCCCTAACTCGCAAGAAGTTGCAAGAATTTACAGGAATTTACCAGAAAGCGTTCCCGTACTCGGTTCTCTGGCTTCTTTTGACAGTTTTATAGGTTTTAACCCAGAAAAGTTGGGGAACGCAACTATTATTTGACCATTAAGCAGTTTTTATACCTTTCATGACCATGAAATGGTACCTATTATAACTTTGGTCCGATGTTTGTAAGTACCAGAATAAGAAGAGATAGACCCATTAAAATGTATATGTACTTAAATGATCAGAACGTCGAGCTGAGTCGATTTAGCCATGTCCGTCTGTCCGTCTGTTTGTATGCAATCTAGTCTGTCAGTTTTCGAGATATCCGGATGAAATTTGGTAGGTGGTTGTATTTGTATAATGTATTAATCATTTGTCGGAACCGGAAGAATCGGACCACTATAACATATAGCTGTCATACAACTGATTGTTCAGATATAAGATTTTTCGTTATAACTACTCAATTAAAGTAGCTGTTTTGCACTGTTGTCACTCATTATAAAATGGATGCTTTCAGTGAAAATGGCGAAGATCGGGTTGCTATAACCTATAGCCTCCATACAACTGATTGTTCAGTTATGAGTATTTTCGTTATAACGCCTCCATTTATGCAGCTAGGAACATGTGGGGATAAGTCGATACTATCAAGGTATTACTCAAATCAGTACTTGTACTTTTATTAAACAAGGTATCGATACCTACTCAGTATCGCAAAGGTATCGAGTACTTGTACACAGAACTACGATTTTGCAGTTTTTCAAAGTTCTTGAATTTTTTTCACAAAAAATATGCAATTTTTCTAGATTATTTATCTTTTAATACTTTTTCATACAAAAACATTAGAATACATTTTACAAGATTAATAGATAAAGTTTTTTTCATATAATATAAGTTTAAGAAAATTACTCTTTTTTTGTTATATTTCCCCAATCAACCAACTTTTCCAAGTATTTTCATGAAAGGCGGTTTCGAAGTTTTGATATACGGGCATGTTCTGAAATTCGAAACTTTGAACTCGACTCGATTTGCCAAATATTTTTTAATTATATCTAATTGAAAACCGTAAAAGAAGCAGCAGCGATGTGAAATAAATCATTTTAATGCGAGACTTGTAAATTTATGGGTTAAACCATCGAAAAAATTATCGAAGTCAAGTCGATTTCAAATTTTCGAATTTTAGAACATGTCTGATAGTTATACATACCTGTTTTTGAGAAAAGCCTCTCGCAAGGGACAGATGACCCAACAACCGTTATGTATAGACGGGCTTGCTTATATAGCTGCGGAAATGTAGTGCACATATGTATCTTCCCATTCCTCTAATAGGTTGCTTTTCAAAGAAGATGCTGAAGCAAAATAAGTTTTGCGCTTCCAAAACAAGTGCTTTTTTTATACCTACTTGGATCGCAGTAAAAAGCATCGAGTAAAAAACTACTTGGTAAATTGAGAAAAGTATCGAGTATTTACTTGGATTTGCTTGCATCGGCGTAGCCAGAATGAAATTTAGGGGGGGGGGGGNGCTCGACCCTATTAAGCTGGCATTTCAGGGTACTATTTTATATATATATAAGGAAAATTTCAAAGTTAGGGGGGGAGGCTCGAGCACCCCCCTTTCCCTACCTGGCTACGCCCATGTTTGCTTGTATCGATTTATCCCTAGGAACATGAAATTTCGCAATACTTGCGCCCATTATCAACAGAATACTTACTGTGAAAATAATAAAGATCGGGCCACTTTTACATATAGCTCATACACAACTGATTGTTCAGAAATGGGATTATTTGTTATAGCTCCTCCATCTATGCAGCTAGGACAATGTAATTTCTTACTTTGAAAATGGCGAAGATCGGGACGCTATAACCTATAGCCTCCATACAACTGATTGTTCAGATATGTACTGTAAAACTCCTTTATCTGTGCAGCTAAAACCGATAAATTTCGTAATCTATTTTATAAATAATAATACAAAGTCTACTGAGAAAATCGTCAAAATCTATGCTGTATGAGCTATGTATATCTCTTATACCACTGATTGTTCAGATACCAGTTTTTGCGATATATTTCCTTTATGTAGGAAGCTAAACCCATTAAATTGTGTTACCGGTTTACATATCTACCAATCACATAACAGTGAAAATCACTTAGATTTGGTGCTGAGTATATAAGGTACATTTTCCATAGCTCTAATTGTTTAAGTAGATATGATTTTTATATATGTATCTCTTACTTGTTATATTTGAGCTTTTCTCACTTTCTGAGCAGCAAATTGTTTTATGACAATCAGTGTTGCCAGGTTTAAAAATTTTGTCGTCATTTGGAAGATGTTGAACTGTCTTGACGATTTGACGATTTCGACACGACGATTTTTTCATTGTGTGCAGTTTCTATTGCCAGTTGTTTTAGTGGCGATTTTTCGATTTTTTCTTTTACTTTTCCAGAAAATTATTGGGCTTTTAATAAAAATCTTTAACCCAATCTAAAAGATATTTATATAGATATATATGTATTCTAAAGTTAGATAACTAACTTCTCATTTCATCCCTTGTTTTTGAATTTTAAGGTTTTTTGGTAAAGGGTTCCTTCACCATATATCGTCGCTATGTCAAACCATCGAATGTGCGAAAATGCTTTTTTAATTGCGATACCTTGCGCTTGCCCTTAGATTGATACGCAAATTGGCAAATTTTTAGTACTCTTTGAAGCAGAGGATACTGGCTTTAAATATGGTCGAATTCCACACTTTTCCTAATGACAACAACATTTTTTACAACACTTTCTTTGGTACCCATTTTCACACTCGATAGTTTGACATGGTAGCGACGATATATGCACTGACTAAAAAATTTCAATAGTAAGGAAAAGGAAATATCGAGATCCACTTCTTCCATATCAGCAAAATTGGGAAAATTATATCTTCTTTAACACAAAAATCGCTTATGTAACCAAGTACCTCCAACACACAAGGGTTAAAGAAATATTTTTAGCAAATTGGTTATCAGTTTAGTTCATTAGATAATGCATATGTATGTTTATTGTTTATCTAAATGCAATTAAGCATATTTCTTTTATATGTAATGTGAAATTTAGTGCCAAAATTTTTTCCGGACACTGTTTATTTTAATATTTTGTGTGTAGACGTTTTTTCAATACAAACGACGATTTTCGAGAACCATTTTGAGGATTTCTATGTTCAACTACCTGGCAACACTGATGACAATATCAAAATCCAATTTGATACAAAGAGTATCTAGCCCCGAATAGCGCCCTTGTTTAGAGCACACTAAAACTATGTTCACATATCAATATTATCACAATCAAAGCTCGTTTTTTAATCACCCCGTTTACACAGGCAAATCTCAGATTATTAGCCGTCAAATTTGTTGTGCTTGTTATTCTCACATCTCAAGGAAAAGTTATGTTTCTTCTCTGTGCGACCGTGATCACGTTTTTATGCTATAATAAGCAATATAAATATATTTTAACTTAACATTTTATTAAAAATACCTTTACAAACCTCTTCCTTGCTAGCTTAAATTTTTGTTTACTTTTACATTTGGGATTTCTCCTCTTTTTTGCAAAAACAATCGATAAAACTAGGATGGACACCGAAAAGTTATCGGTTTAATCTGAGATTATTTTATAATTACAGATTAACAAGGGACGAATTTTATATGGCTAATCTCTTGTTATAATTACAGATTAGGGTATTAAACTCGAAAATGAGGATAATCTACTTATATGTGAACCTAGTATAAGGTACGTTCAGCTCCAGCTACAGTAACAGTTCTGAATGACGAATAAATTTGTATTCCTCATTCAATTAATTTAGACTAATGAATAAATTTTTACTCATCGTTCAAGCAATTTCGAATGATGAATAAACTTTTATTCTCCA